AACTGATATCAGTTATCCAACAGAAGATTAATAGAAAATAATAAAATTATTAAATATACTTTAAAAATAGTGTGAAAAGTTTAGAAAAATAATTATGTAAAACATAAAGAAAAATGGAAAAATAATGATTACTCAAATATATGATCTCTTAGTGTAATTATCCTTAGAATTGTTTAACTAAACTTGAAAACTTTTTCTAACCACAATCTGATGGATTGATATACAGTTCTTAGTGGAGTGCTGAATAATAATTGTGAGGATATAAGCTTGTATACCACATATACTTCTAAAGAAAAATCAAAGAGAATCTGGGTACTAAAACTATCACAAAAGCTGTGTAGCCATAACCATGCCTTGGTAATGAAGTAGTTTAACAATTTACATATAAACAATATTCACGTGTAAAAACTTATTTTAATATTACTTGTTGAGTGTTTCTGTCTTTAGTCATTGTTGGATTGACAAAACCTGAAAAACTATTCTTCTTGGCATAGTCATAAATTTAACTAATGTGGTTGGGTATTTGTTTTATATTCTAGATATAGATAACGTACATTGTTATCAAAGTAATATAAACTATTAAAAATGTAAGAAAAGCAGCTAATAAAGAGAAGTAATTAACAACTTTAATTAGCTGTAAAATATTAATGTTTGTAGTTTGTAATGACAACCTTACACAGTAGACTTGTTTCATAATGTGAAATAAGACTCAAACAGCATCCTCTTCTTACAGGCATAGAAACAACACTTTGGTTAAACATTTGGCTTAAGAATGGGACAGAAATAAAGGCCTGTTAGGCAATGACCTGTAGCAGATAAGAAATAAATATAAAATAGTTTTACCATTTCCTAGTTTGAAAAATTGCATTGAATTAAATAAGAAGCAAATAACAGAAAATGTACATCAAATTTAGTATTTAGTATTAAAGGGTTTTCCACTTACAGCTTGATATTAAACTGGAAATAAGTTTTTCAAGTCCTTTCAAAGCTTATTTTTAAATTTCAGTAGCATATTTCAATCAGTTTATAAAGAAAGTATAATATTTACTTATATTTATGAAACATTGCCTTAGTTATTGTAAAACAATTGTTTTTCTTTAAGATGGGATTTATAGTTTTGCTTTAAAGAACAAAAAAAGTTTATTATAAATGACTTAATATACAATATTTTTGTACTTGTAGTAATATTTAAATGTTCAAACATTGCTCTTGCATTGTTGCACTATGATGCACTTGTAGTTTAAATTGTATTAACTAGTTTTTTTATGACTGATTTTCACAGGTTGTTGATGGGATCGTTCAGTACACGTTTAACAAGCATGTCATTGTGGTGTCTGGTGTTACTGTAAGTGATGGAAAGTGGCATAATATTGAAGCAAAATGGATGGCCAATGGTGTATGGTTGAGCCTTGATTATGGACAATTTGAGGTAAGATGTTGTTCGATCATGATTAGGTTTTCAGTTTTTCTTCTCTGTTTATTGGAAAAATAAGTAAGAGTGGATTCCATAGATTTCCAAATGATGTACACAATTATTCGTGACATATGAAGACAGATATTGGGAGGGAGCTGTGTGAAAAGTTAAAGTCTGCTTCTTACTTTGTTTGCGAGACAAATAAGTAATATATATAGTGTATCAGAAAACAATATACTGTAATTGCTGTTTTTTAATTTCAGTACAATTAAGCATGTCTTGGTGAAAATGCAAGACCAAATGTTTTTTTTTAAAGTATGAAAGATAGGACTCACTTGTTCCAAAATAAACAAATAATGTTGAATGGGTTATATTGTCTATAATAAAATTGTGAAAAAGTGTTTGGAATTGACAAAACTAAAGGTTGATACCAATACTTGAAAATTTTGAGAGTTATATATTAGAGTTAGCTTGTGGAATAAAAATTAGTTTTATCCAGATTTTATCAGTTAGCAGTAGCTCAGACTTAAAAGATGTTAAACAAATATAAATGGATTTGAACCTTTCATCTAATGCAAACTTGTAATAAAACTTGTTATCAATTAATTCCATGGATCTTCAAAATTTATAATAGATAAGTGATTTTTGTAGGTTTTTTAAAATTAAAGAAATTATATGAAATTAAACCATGTAGCTAAAAATATAAAAAACATAATTTTCCTCATTATCTCTTTGTTAAGCAAAAGTACTTTCTTATTGTTGGTTATTACTTTTAAAGCACTCATACTTTATGTGAGGAGTAAATAAATGTAGCTGAATAAATAGAGTTGTTTAAACATTTGTTTAACAAAAGTAAAAGCTTGGAATGGGCTATTCTTTCATTGGGGGTGTGTGTGTCTGTGAGCCAGACTAGTTTTGGAGAATTCCACTCCTCATCAGTGACCCTGTACATTATCACCAATGAAATATCAGACCAAACCAAGCCTTTATATGTTTTATACTCATAAAAAAGAAACCTATCATTCTATTGTTTTTCTCTGTGCTTATAGAATACAGAAGAGATAGATATTAATATCCGGGGGTTGTATGTGGGCAAAGTCTCTATTGGTGGCTTAGAGTCAACAGAAGAGGACAAGACAGTAGAATATTTTGATGGTTGTATCCAAGTGAGTCTGCATTTTTGGCCTATTGGAATATATGAAATTTTTATTCAGCAGATGTTAGTGTTCTTGCTCGGTTGAAAGTTATAAAGAAAGTTTTTGATGCTGGAATAACAGTACATCAAATATTACTTATTACAGATGTTATATGCTTAGCACTAGTAATAAAATGTTTAGAATATTTTATTTGAAATAAAACATTTAAAGTTTTTGTGGTGTAAGAATTATTGTAAGAATATATTGGTTTTTGTTTTGATTAAACCATATTCCAACATGCCATTTTGCATAGAAAATTTGGTAATCAGTAGAGTCAATGTTGTTTGTAGGATGTGGTCGTTGGTAATAGCCATAGTGCTTGGCTTCGTCCAACTATAGCAAATAACGTTAAAGAAGGATGCCATGTGACAAACCCCTGCCACTCCAGTCCTTGTCCAGAACACAGTACTTGTGTGGACATGTGGGAAAATTACAGATGTGAATGTGACCAAGGTATGACATTTTTAAAAAAAAACATGATTTGGAAACAAAACAAATAGGTGTGACATGCATTTAAAATACTGTTCATAAACAGATGTGACCTAGAAGATAAATTTCAGTGTATATTGTGTTTGCATTAGTATTTTAATCCTTACTATGATATTATTAATTAATAAATACTCTTTAATGTTACTTTAGTACATTAATAGTCTGATGAAATTGGCATAGATATATTAAGTTTGATTTTTTTTTAAATATTCAATTATCATATAAGAATATGTATTTAACTAGGGGTATCTCTAACCCGCATATGTAGGATATGGTTTAAACATTAAACATGAAGTTATGATTATTAATGACATGTTACTTCAGTATAACATTTATAATCCTGGGTACAAGTTGTCAGTTTGATTGCTAATAAAAATGTCTCCTTTTTTCTGCCACAGGTTATGTTGGTGAAATGTGCCTGCCAGTTTGTGACCTGAATCCTTGCAGTGGAAATGCTAAATGTGAGTCTCTGGTGTCATCTGGTCCTGGTGCTCCATCAGGTCGAGGCTACAGATGTGAATGTGACTCTCTTCATTCTGGAGAATACTGTGAGCAGTCAGTGGACCAACCATGCCCATCCAACTGGTGGGGCTATCCAATCTGTGGCCCCTGCAACTGTGATACAAGCAAAGGCTATGATGCCAACTGTAACAAAACTACTGGGGCATGTAGCTGTGAGGTAAGTGTTTACTACTACTACTACTACTGCTCAGTTATTTTAGATGATCCAGTCTGGATTGAAACACGTATCCTAACTAAAGTGTTAGTTTTACCTCTGACCGATACTGCCTCTTTAACAATATATAATAAAAACAGCAACAATTTCAGAATTAAAAAAATCATGTCAGACCAAAATTAAGGATTTTGTTGTTTAGTTGGTGTTATTTTGTCAGTTTGATGTCATGCATCAGTTTTTGTAATTCTAGCTCTATTAGCTAATGTGACTGTGGGTAATGAGGTTTTCTATTAACACATTATAATATTGCGATAACTTTTTATGTTTTATTTTAATATTTCAGTTCAATATCAAAGACAGAATTTTTCAGTGATTATTAATTGATTTGTAATTTCCTTATATAAATATTTTGATATGTTTTATAACTGTAATTTGATTTATCCAGGAAAACCATTACCAGTTGCCCGATAATGATGTCTGTTTTGACTGTGACTGCTATCCTATTGGCTCCTATAGTAACCGCTGTGATCCAATCACTGGCCAGTGTCACTGTAGACCTGGAGTCATTGGTCGACGATGTGATTCATGTTCAAATCCTTTTGCTGAAGTAAAACTTCTAGGATGTGAAGGTATGTTATTGCTTGAATGCACCTTGATTTAATAATATATATATAAAACCAAAACACATACAAATTTCCACATGTGTACAAATATTAAAACATCACAGTACTTGAACTCTTCTCTTTTTTTCTCATCTTTATTATTTTCGGACCTCTGATGACATCACTTAGTTTACATTCAACCAATTTCATGACTACAAAGGTCACTCCTCAGGATGTAATTTTAGAGAAGAAATTATTGTCCTTTCTGTGATTTCTAGTAATGTTTTTAACTTTTGCACAATTCCTACTAACCTTATTCATCTACTGTTACTTTGTCATTTAAACTATAACATCTAAATTACTATAATTCATATAATAATAACATTCATAGAGTATTTTGTCTCTCTTCGTCCAGCCCAGTTGATGTGTTCTGGTATTGCACAAAAAGCTTCTTTGGTAGCAACTTGTGGGTGACAAAAAATTATATCTGAATAGCTATTTTTACACACCCTTGATTTTGAGATGCAATAGAGAAATTAAGAGGAATGTGAAAAAAAAAATCTGCAGTTAACTTGATTTTTATAACAAAAAGTCTTCCTTTTACTTTGTCTTCGCATGTTTTGAAGCAAGAGAAAATATGCTTACAGCATTCTTTTTCCATAAGTAACACATTTGTTTGCTCACTAAAACACAAGGCTTAGTCAAACAGGATCCCTGTACCATCAAAGGCTTGTCTCTACGCTTACTTTTAAAACTGATAATTTTAATCAATCTTCCATAAATCAATATATTGTAACTCAGTATAACACATTCTATGAGTAAACAACAGCATTAGAAATACAAAATAATTATTTTATTGGTTGAGCAGTCATTATTATATTTGAGGGTTTGATGGTCATAACATTGGGCAATACAAGCATTTGGAAATCAGGCCCAAACATAGACCCAATTAACTTAGAAATATGAAAAAGTAAAATAAAATTTGAATTTTTTAATATCTTTTCAGTTTGTTAAGGAATTCCAAATCACTTTTTCCCATCTTACCATTATTAGGCCAAATGACATATTTTACTAACCAAAATTTGTCAGTTATAGAGAATTAATATCATCATCCCCTTCCCCCCCCAAAAAAAGGTTTAATATCTACACAATAGAAATTTGAATGAAAATTAGTAAACTGCTGTAATTAAGTAAGTATGAATTCTATATCATTCATTTTAATTGTATGAGATGTAATAAAAACCTATAGCACTCACTCTAGAGCATTATGTCCCATGGCCCTGTTACACCACATAACACATATAGCACTCACTCTAGAGCATTATGTCCCATGGCCCTGTTACACCACATAACACATATAGCACTCACTCTAGAGCATTATGTCCCATGGCCCTGTTACACCACATAACACATATAGCACTCACTCTAGAGCATTATGTCCCATGGCCCTTTTACACCACATAACACATACACACATATATATATATATATACTCCATTATCTTCCTGTATATTTACATTAAATACTATGTTGGTCTAAGTACTGTTTTTTACTTTTTCAGTGATTTATGATGGCTGTTCAAAATCATTTAGTGAAGATATTTGGTGGGATGGAGCTTTATTTGGGGAAGAGACGGTTCAATCATGTCCAGAAGGTTCAGTAGGTATGTAGAGCTTATTACTATTTTTTGGTCTTCATATAAGGATCATTTCATGAGTGAATTCATAGTAAGTCATTCTGTTGGCAGTTCAGGTTCAGAGTCAGGAGTGCTTTGATAAACTTTGTATTCTGGGAATTTTAAGGGATTTTTCATTTGACTGTGAAATACTGCAAAATGGGAGTGATATATTATTTATTGTTTGAAAACTTTTTTCCACTGATTTTCAGTATAGGTATAAGAAAGTTCGGTTTAATCATAGAAGTATTTTTTATTTAAACATCAAGCATTTTAAGCCATTGCCCAACTGATATAAATTATTTTACTTGTGACTAGGTAAAGCCTCGAGGTTTTGTAGTGAAGACACTGGATGGGAGAAGCCAGATTTATTTAAATGTACATCTATTGCTTTTCTGGAACTTGCCGAACAGGTAATGTACATTGTATCGTCACACAGTAATGTGGAGTTGTGTACTGGATACATCTCAATAACTTACATAATAATATTAGACTTTTGGGGAAGTGGATATCTGTAGAACTTCAATTTCTCAAAAAACATTCACTAATTAGATATAAGTATTAGGAAAAATACTCATGTTTGTTTTACCTTTTGGTTTGCCATGTTGTTGTTAAAAGACTTTTAATAATGATATTATGTTGAGAAATACAATATTTCTTTTTATAACATAGGTTGTACTATTTAAGTATGTCTTGCAAGAAAAGTTCACTAGAATAAACTGTAAAAATACTCCTATTGAAAAATACATGTTGTGCTGTTTAAGTATGGCTTGTAATAATAGTTCAATAGAATAAACCATATAAATACTTCTAATGAAGAATGCAGATTGTATGTTTTTGTATGGCTTACAGTAAAAGTTCACTAGAATAAATTATAAAAAATACTTCTAATGAAGTTCACTAGAATAAAGTGCAAGACAAAATGGCTGATACAGGATTAGGCAAGTTACAGCAATGCATAAATGGTAGTATTTTTGTATTTCTTAATAAAAGTGAAGGTAGTATGAGAAGAATTAAACTCAGTAACTTTTAAAAATTGGTTAGAACCAAATTCCATAAATCGAAGATAATGTGAGAATAAGAACCAATTGGTTAATAAAGAATGTATAAGCCAAAAAATATAAAAGATAACTGACATACAGAAGAGTTTATGTTAATATAAGAAAAGGATTTATCTGATGGATTTGAAAGTGAAAAGAATGTTAAACAAGGTTAAAAGGTTTTGAAAGTAATCTGTGAACAAGTAAGGGAATGTGTTTTAGGACAAGAAGTTTTATCTGATAGATTTGAAATTGAAAAATGAGTTAAACAACCTGTGTTTTATTTGTATAAGTGAATAATTTAACATAATTAGTGTTATTTTATAGTGGTGTTTCATGTATTTTATAAACCCTTATGATTTGTTTAATGATTATACTCCAAGAACTTACATCTAGTTCTAACTTGTACAACAAAAATTGGATTACAGTATAAAATGAATAATCTAGAATATCATTATACTAATGGTATATTGATTATAAATTTTGTTAAGACAAGAATGATAGTACTTGCAGATAGAAAAGGGAGGGTATATTAAATAAACGTGAAAATTAAGGGCAGTACCCTGTTGTGTAAAACTTAAAACTTGTTTATTCTTGGACATACTGAGCATAATATCTAATAAGATGGTACTGTTTACTCTTAAAACAATGCCTTATTTTACCCCTCATCTTATACATGGGTTCAAAGATAGAGTTCATGTAAGAACTCTCCAAAACAATGTTGTTCCTTTTACTTTTGTTTGCTTTTTTTGAGTAAGTGCTTTGACATTGTGCCACCAACTGCATTACAACAACATATTTGCAATTGTATCATTTGTCTCGATATTTTATAACTAGAAGCTATTTGTCTCACATGATAGTTACAACTGATCAAAACATTTTTGATTTGAAATGTATTTATCTCATCTGTTAACTAAAAGGCCTGGCATTGCGAGGTGGTTAGGGTGCTCAACTTGCAATTTGCAGGTCACAGGTTCAAATCCCTGTCCCATCAAACATGCTCGTCCTTTCAGTCTTTGGGGTGTTATAAAGTGACAGTCAATCACATTATTCATTGGCAAAAGAGTAGCCCAAGAGTTGGCAGTGGGTGGTGATGATTAGCTGCCTTCACTCTAGTCTTTAACTGCTAAATTAGAGACAGTTATTGCAGATAGCCCTTGTGTAGCTTTGCGTGAAACTCATAACAAACCAAAACTGTTAAACTAAAATATTGCTAATATTATATCAAAAAAAGGTAGTTTCTGTAGCTACACTAATTTTGTAAACCTGTTTTTATAATAGATCACTATATCTTAAGGTTTATTATTTTTTGTAAAGTTGTTTATTACATGTTTGTGACTTAAGTTATGCCACAGGTTAGCACAGTTTAAAAATAATTTTGAAGAATTTTTTTACAGAAGTAATATCCTAGACTTGCTTGACAATAGAGATCATTCTTTACACCGAACCTCAAAGAAATACACTTAATTTGCTCAAAAACTTTAGAGGTTACATGGGATCGAGTTATGCACTGGCAAATATGATATGTATATCCTGTTTGTTTGGAGTTGATAAGATGAACTTCATGCTTTACCACATGTAATTATAATCTATACTTATTTCTGGATTTGTGTTTGATTAGAGAATAAAATAAGAAGGTTATTTTGTGTTTCTTTGTTTAAACCATGATGTTGAATAAATTAAGTAGGTAATGAAAGATATTTATCTACTGATGCTTTCACTAATGTTTGCAGTGTATCATATAAATTTTTTGTTTTTTTTTGTAAAACATTTTCTTTGGCATAGAAGAATTCTGTTATGCATTACAACCCATGCAAACTGAAGCTACAAATAGCTCTCCTTGTGTTATTTGGTTGTTTGTTAGGTTCAAAAACTTTGATAATAGATGAACTAAGAATAATGCAATAGAAGGGGTACAGTTTTACAATGTTACTCTTATTATAATACTGTTTTTTTTTGTGAATGTTTTCAGTTGAAGGTAATTGAACGAGATAACCTGCCTCTGAGCACATACCTATCTGTTAAACTTTCTTCTGACATGTATGCTGCCACCAACTCATTGGAAACTCTTCATGGAAGTGATATCCTCATCATAGCACGTCTCTTGTACCATGTGTTGTCCTATGAAAACCAGCAGGCAGGATTAAACCTGACCCATCGACAAGATAGGGATTTTATTGCTGTAAGTTTTCAGAAATATTTTATCATAAACTTAATAAGTGTGCTCTTCTTAACTTAAATGAGCTAGGTGATGTGCAGTAGAATAGACATGCATGACCAGATTGAAATTCTTGTCATTTTAATATCCTTAACTTATAACTCTGACCCCTCACCTGTCAAAGAATAGATATATGGGGTAGGAGAGGAGTAAAAGTGAAAAAATAATATATGTTATTTTTTTTATCCATTCATGCTCTAAAGAATAGTTAGTGGCTCTTGTAATGTAAGGATAACTTGTATTTGTAGTCACAGAATAATGGCTTAGAATTGCTCTGAGTTTTTGTTTTTTAAGTACAAACTTTTAGCTCATAGCTCTGTCATCTATTGACCCATTTGAGATCTAATTACAATTTTGGACTCAGAAGGTCAAACCTTTTCGATTATTGTATTTGACCATGCCCAAGGTCTCAGATTAATTTATTCTAATCCTGCCTAAAATAATTTCAATTTGAGGGTAGGCTGGTAGAGATCCTTATGAGTAATACATTCAAATCGGGTATACGTGCACCCCACTCTCTAATTTACTCTAATCCTGCCTATAAGAATTTCAAGTGCCATGGCTATTTAGGATTCCTTCTTGTTTTTTATTCCTCTGGTGAATACATTTTTTTAGAACATTCACATGTTGAAGTCAATGAATGGGTAGACTGTTATTTTTTATTTCTCTGGTGATTATGTTTTTTGTGTTTGACTTCAACACCATTGTCTAATGATATAAATGCTGTTTGAATAAGAAACATAGTTATTTCTAATTTTTGAAAATACAACCATTTCTTTTGACAGTTTTTTTTATAAATAATTGGGAAAAGATGGTAACATGGTTTGTCCCTGAAAAAATATACATTTACAATATTTAAACAGAAACAAAAAAATTTTAGTTAAAAAATGTTGTCTGGATACAAAGGTTTGACCTAGAGGTTTTTATACAATGTATTTGAATTAAACTTTAAACAGATTAATAGCACTTATTTCAATTGTCCTTACACTGAGAAATGTTACCTGCAGTACCTGGTGGAGGCCACAAGCAGGACTCTTGAACCAAAATACCTGGAACATTGGAAGAGAATAGCTTCGTTAACAGGTCATGGTCCGGAACACATACTAATGATATTTGAGAAGTATGGAAATACACTTGCTCGCAACCAGAAAGATACCTTTACTGAGCCATTTGAGATTGTTGCCAAAAATATGGGTAATGTGATATTGTCATAAGTTAGTAAACTATTGGATTAATATTAGTATTTATATTTTTATATAATGTCAAAATTAAAATTTACTGAATTTAACAGTAAAGGTCTCAAAGTAAAATTATCACTGTATTGCTCACATTTTTCCTTTTCACAAGATGTCTTTTATTATACTCAAAGTCTAATTTATGATTCTGAACCTTGTAATTATTTATCATTTCAATTTCCAATGAGGTATCACTGTCTAGTGATTTGTATGATTATGAGACATAGACATTGTATAGCATCTTTCAATAACACACTAGTAGTTTTTTAAAAGACCACTAATTTAGGCTTTGATTGAAAGTGAGTGGAAGAACATTATATTTTATCCTACAAGTTTATGAAGGAGGATTGATTTATAGTGCCATCTGTTAACAACAATCATACTATAGAGTGTCATATTTCTGATATGGTATCTTGCCTTCACTTACATAGCTTTTCTCATTCAGTGATGCCCCTCTATATTCAAAAATAGTTTTGAACTTCCACTTACCCCACGATTAACATGGTTCACAGTGTCTTTGCATGTAAATCATCATGCCACAACTCTCCACCAATAGAAGCACAACACACCGTCCTGACACATGTCACTCCCTGTATTCAATTCTACCGAACTATCACTTCTCATTAGATAGTTTTTAGCGAAGATGTTTTCAATTGTGCAAAGTAGTGCTATACTAGTTATTATTATTTTGCTACAGTTGGTTCTCTGTAGTTTTTTTTTCCACAATAACTTACCTTTGTTAGATAATTTTTTTTTTCTTCAAATTATTTCGAAGTTTGTGATCCTTCTGATCCTCTTCCTACTACTTTGAATGTTGTTACACAGGCTTCAGGTTCGGGGGTCTCAGCCCTGAGGATTTTTCTGATATCATTCATCGGGAGTTTGATCTTTTTTCGAGTCGACCTTCTTCTCCCAACAATGTTCAGGTTCTTCCTGTATTGTCCGAACCTGTTCATGATGAGGAGGATTTGAACAGCCTTTTTCTTTTACCTCATTACGCCATGCCTTCCCAATCCTCCCCTGTGGAATTTATCAGGCCTCCCTCAGCCTTTTGGGACAGAATTTCTCAGTTATGTTTCATTTTATCTCTTTCCACAGTTTCATATGATCCTGTTCCTTTCTTGTTACATGACACACCATTATTAGAGTACCTGATGATCATTTTGTTTCTCACCTGAGGGCTGGAGCCAGCATGCCTCATCCTCCATGGGCTTCTGATCATTATGCTTTGAGTTATCATCAGGCCAAATAACCTTTTCTTGACTCCCAACAGCTGGAGTCACTTTTACGACTGTGGGGTGCTGACCCTGAAAATCCTCTCCATTTGTCCCAAGTCCAGTTTTCATGACTGTGTCTTACCCTTACAGCTCTCCTGAAGTGCTTTTCCATATACATACTTTCTGAGTCACTCCACCGATATCTTGAGGGCTTTTTGGATGATAACAATTCTCTCATCACCTCCACATTGGCAAAATTGTCCTCCTTGGCCCTGTTCCTTCACATGTGGTTTCCTTGTTGTTGAGATCTCTTTGGTAGGGACATTGTCTTGTCACAGGTCTATCTCTTTTCCTCTTATCTTCAGGACCTGTGGATGGCTCCTTTTCTCCAGAGTCTTTGGAGTCATGTGTGGAATCTGTGAGACAACACTCAATCATTTCTTCTTTGGTTGCTTGTTTGCCTCACCCACCTACCATGCCCTCTCCCATACCTATTTCCCATCCTGCTCCCTCCTGTCCTTTGCCAGTTCCTACCACTAGGGGTTTGATGTTTAGTCATGTGTCTCATTGTCGGGTTCATCGGCACCAGCAGTTCCAATGACTATCAGGTTGTTTCTAGTCCTTCTACCCTTACAGGTTGGGATCATCAAGTTATTAGACTGGCATATCCCTCCCTGTCTCTTTCATCCCACAATCTGTTCCAGGTGTCATTACATCAGATCAGGCACCTTACCTTTTCCTTGGCATCTCACCTGTGTCATCTGTTGGAAGAAATTTTTCAGTCAAGCATATGTACTACACCTCATAAGTTCATCTCCCACTTCCTACATCAGGTGGCTGTTTCTTCCTCATTGGGGTATCACCTTCCACCTGTTGCCATTCTCCAGATATTGGTGTGGCTGTGACTTGGTAAGTTATCTTTTATATATGTTATTTTCCTTCCAGTGGTATGTCCCTTTTAAGTCTAGAATCCTGTTCAGTGGTGAGTGTTGCCTGTCCATACTACCTATCTCTCAAATTCTGCACTGTATGGCCATTAGTAAGTCATACCAAAGCATATTATCTCCCACCTAGTGATTCTGTTGCTCCAACTCTGTGTGATGGGTCCTGGGGCTAATGTTGCAAGGTCCTGAATTAGATTGTCCTGTGGACTATGGTTATATGGGTTAATCTGCTGGTGATACCTGCGCTCCTACTTTTGCCCGATCCTGTCTGGGGTTGATGTTGCACGAGTTACTTCCAGCTATTCCTGTTGCTCCAACTCTATGGGTTGGGCCTTAGTGTAGAATGATGTTGCACAGGATAGCTTCATGAGGGTTGTATGGGATGTCCCACCAAAATTGTTTTCGGGTAATGGCTGATCCCAACAATCTCAATAGATACCCATGGCCAATAATGCACACTATTGAGATGGGATATTCCACAAGATCGCTAGTAGGTTTTCCTAGTTGGTTTTACTGTGCATGACACAAGGTTTTAGTGTCTTACATTCAAAATTTTATTAAACCACTTTTTATTTACGTTATACCAATTGAAATAGCATAAAATTTTAGCTAATGATCCATATTTTAAAAGTATATAAGTTTTAAGTTCTTAATTCTACAAGGCAATATAAAAAAAAATCCTGAATTTCCACTAGAGTAACCCACATGACATTTTTTCTTAGCATGTCATCATCCTTATTTTATCCATTATTCCTTGAAAAAGTATGAAATAAAACATAAATTAATTTCTATAAAATCGTTTTTGCTCAGACAAACCATAATTTTTATAGTCTTCAATTTTGTTTGGTTACAGAGCTATCCAATAGAAAATCAGACCCCTCCTGCCACACCCACCTGTCTCATCCTCTCTTTCAGAATTCGTTGATAGTTCTCTCTTACGTTTCATTATATACTACTTATAACCAGTAGAAAGTCAAGGTTTTTGTCTATGAAATGACGTATTGTATAACGCTGTATTCTGAACTGAATATTGTCAATTTCACTCACACTCAAAGATTTGTTCCTGTGGGAAAGTTAATGACTATCTTGGGGGAATTTGTAACGGCTGTAGTTGCATAATTAAACAGCCAGAAAATTTTGAGAGGTAAGGCAATTTGTCTACTTTTTGCATGTTATTAGTCTATATTCTTTGATGCATTATTTAATTAAATAAAAATGATTAAGTGCATTACTATGATTACTATAAGAAATCATGCTTAACTGTCCTCGATAGTCGAGGGCAAGAAAAAAGAAGATTGGGTAAGTACTTTATTTCTTGTTTTTCATATCTGTTATTATAAAAGTAATAACTAAAACCTAGAAATATGGATCTTTTTGAGTTATTTAAGACTAGATTAAGTAAAATAAGTAGTAATAATAATATAATTAAAATGGTTTACGTGAGCTGCATGTTCTCACAAGTGATTTACAACTTATAATAGTGCGGATAGTGATTAGACATGGTTCAAAGGGCAATAAAACAATAGAATTTAATTATAGATAGATGTATACTGTTACAAACTTAAAGCTACTTAGAATAAACGAATGTAGTTTCATGTTACAATTTGAAGTCATTCTAGAAAGAAAAAAAGGTAATTTAGGTTTATTTCGATTTTTTTTCTGGTGGTTATGAGGTTGATCGATTTGACTGATCTCGTTTTGAGATAGGGTAGAAAAAATAACAGATAAACTATAATGTTTTACTGAAAATAAAGTTTAAAATGCATTTAGGAGGTTTTAGGAATTACACAAAGGTAATTTGAGATTTTTGAGATGTGGAAAAGTATTTTTAATTTTAACATGAAAATCACTTTGCACATGAGCTATTCAAAACAAATACTCAATATATTAATGGACAAATCTTTATTGTATTTAAAATACTTCACTAAAAATATGATTTTTTTTGTATGAGAAAGACTTGTAATATCTACTGAAAGACTGCCAAATTTTGAGAAGATATTCACACTATATTTAGAGTTATAAGTATTAAATCTATAAAGACTTTAAATGAATACAAAAAAGTCACGAGGTTGGTCAAATCGACCGAACCTGTATTGAGAGAGTTAATATGCCCATACCAGACCGTACTAACCCATAGACTTACATGGGTAAAGCAGAAGGGGATAGCTGTCCATTCCTGCCTTCCCCTTGATTAAATAAATCAGGAGCAGTCTGCTTTTCAAAATAGGGATTTTGTGGTCACCCTATTGCACTATCTCCAGTGTTGGCATTCCTTTGGATTCTTAACCATGTTTTGTCCCCCCTATGTTCTTCTAGTGGAGTATATGAGTCCTTGACACTTTCCAGTTATGAGCCACTGGGGTGGTGGACCATGGAGGAGTCCTCCTGAATGTGATCTTTTCACTTCAGTAGAGGGTAAGGTGGTGGTGGTGTTCTGCCAGTATAGATGGTATTTGATCCTCACATCATGTTCTCCACCTCAGTGTGGTGGGTTCTAGAGGTTGATGTTATGCCCAGCTACTGTGCAGTTCTATCCAAAGGGTGAGGTTGCATATATTTAATAAAGGCGATCCACTGCAGAGCAGTGGGACTTGGTGGTTGGCATTGCACTCCAAGTTAAGTACCTTTTACAGAGTCGATCCACTTCCATGTAGTGGGACCCAGAAGTTGATGTTGCACTCTAGCTTCTGGAGGATGAGGATGAAGTTGCTTTCGAGTAGATTTTTCACATTGCAGTTTACCCTTTATATTGGGATCCCTGATCATACAATCACCTGGATGTTGGTTCCCAGTAAGTGGTTTTGGATTAGAGCTGGACCAATCAATATAAATCCTCATGCATGTATTGGTTGTGCTTCTTTATCCACCTCATTCTAGTAGTTTTGTCTCATGATCTCCATCTCCGTACATTGGGTCACCAGTGCATGTTGTGTAAACATACTCTCTATCTTCTGTGAGGTCCTATCCAGAGAATGATGTTGCTTGGGATGATGGTTATCCCCCTGGTCCTCTGCCTCCAGGAGTTTTACTACCCGAGGCTGATGTCAAACAGTGCAGAAACAGTCTGATGGTGTTTGGATTTGATGTGACCTGCTACATTGGCACATTCCTTCCAACTGTCATTTGGAGGTCTGGTTTCTGGTTGACTGTTTGTTGGTTGTGGATTTGCACACATGTGTCCCATTTTTTAGAGTAGTTTGGTAAGTATATTCTTTTGTTTTGATAAACTTGAGGTGAAGATGGTGTGGACCATTCTCCTACCACGGGTTGGAAGATGTATGCGAAATGCCACTTGGTTTTGGACTGGAGTTGATGGCTACATACGATCTGATGTAGCCTAGGCATTATACAATATGGGGCACATCTTTTTTTATTGTTACCCACATTCACACCTGTGGATGGTAATCCTCCACTCAATCTTATCCGGGACTGTGCTTCTAATACTTTGTGGATTTTGGGTTCGAACCCACACAGTTTTTTTTTTTCAAATGTACTCCCACTTTCTGCATGTGTATGCAACACCTATTTCCATACTGGGTGAAGAGTATATCTGATACAGAAGTGGTACAGTCTCCCATGTGTGTTCCTCTCTCAATGAGGGTTACACTTCAATTGTGTTCTTCGGACACTTTTGAAGGATTTTTCTCTATATCCCTCACACTGGTCCCTCCACCTATTCAAAGTGGGAGGTAAGATACTCTATTGTAAGTTATTATGTTCCTACAATGAAATATATTTCCGATAGGTGCTTACCTCCTATCACAGTTCCTACCTTTGCTCCCCACTTAAAACTGGTGCTTCCTTTCTGCTTAATCTCCAAGTGATAATTCGGTAGAATTGAATAGAGGGAGTCACATGCATCAGGAGGGTGTGTCATGCTCCTATTGGTGGATGGTTGTCACATTATTTACACGTGAAGACGCTGTGAACCACATATATTTTTGTATATAGAGGACAGCACTATACTTTTGAGCGGAGGTAAGTACCTATCAGAAATATATTTTCAGTGTAGGAAAATAACTTTTATGTATATTTTAAAGAAGCTTGCTTTATTAAATATATATAATATAAAAAGTAATGGTAAATTACAAGTACTGATTTAAGTTACTTGCATCTGTTTATATATATTGTCATTATTATATATATATATTTGTTTTTCTTTTTTCTGACCAGTTTTTGGTTTAGATACTGTGTCCACGTCTGAGCTATGGGGCTATCCAGCTACAACTGATGATGTGACAAACTCGACTGTTGCCTTGGACTCTATTCAGCCATCAATCTTTCTTGACTTTAGTCTTCCATCTTCTGCTGGACCTGCTGTTGTCATCCCGAAATATAACAACTTTCCAATCCGTAAAGAATATACTGATGATATAAGTAAAGCAATTGTGCCTCTGGAAACAATTGGAGTCAAAGAACTAGAGGGTGTGTGATATATGTAACACATTACTGACATTATTAGTGTTAAATTCCTAGAGAGATTAGTGTGATATCTGGAACGTTTTAATACTAGATAAATTTCAACCCTTTTGATGCATAATTGCATTTGGGCTGGTTCCTGAAAAGTGTTGATTATCCACCAAAAAATAAAAATTAGGAATTTGATCTTCTCTAGTCCTTTTTCAATATGAAAAGGAGATGATAAATTTTCTATATCTGGCACAACAATTCCCTGGTGTACACATGAAAGCTGAACAAAAAATACAAGTGACAAATGATGAATACTGACTTGTACATTCATTTTATTACCTCTTAACAAAATTTTTGGCTTACATTAGTATATCAGATGATCGATACTAGAATACTGAATATATATATATATATATATAAGGTATAACATATCAATAAAATTATCCCCCAAATCATGGAGCTATTTACCGTGTGAGCTGACAGCTGAGTATATGTAAACATTTCCACTAGTTGTGGTGTTGCTCACAGGTGCCAGTACCCTGGCGATGTGGCATGGCTTTCAAGGATGGGTGGGTATTCGTGCTTCTCTGTCACAGTGGAAAGAAAGGTTTTTTTGTGAAGCTGTGGAGGTAAATTTGCTTTTCGCAGTGGAAGGAAAAGTTTTTGAAGCCGTGGGGTAAATCTGCTTGTTGCATCAAATGGCTATAAATTTCAAAGTGGATAGATCCACTTGTTGCATCATAATGGTTAATGATAGCATTAATAAATTTTTAAAGAAGTACTAATTCAAACTTACCTAAACAGTGATGTTTTAAAACTGCTCAAAAAATAAGATTACTATATTTTATTCTACAGGTGTGGTTGCTAAACGGCAAAAACATCCTCTCAGTTTCCCAAAAGCTTCAGCAGTTACAATTTATGCCATCTATCCAACAATTGGGCAACTTCTTCCCTCGGCATATGACAATTCTGTCAGGTATGTTTGGTAACTAATTTCTGAGACTTTGTGTGTGTTTCAATTTGTGACAATTTCCTTGATCTTCATTTTGTAGTTAAGATTTTATTATTTATACATTGTAATTATCTTTCAGTTATACTGCTGTAAATGCAATGCTTTGTTTAGTGGGTTCTGTCTTTTGAATATTGTACATGGGTGGTGATTTGAGCTTGAGCTTCTAGCATTTCTAACAGATCAGTGTAGTCTTGTGTTCTTTCATATTTCAGTTATGTTATCAATGTTAAAAGGAAACTACATTTGAAGTGTGATTTTAAGATTAATGTTATTAAATGTTATGTATTTCAAACAAGAGTGTGATGGGTAGTATTTTTATGTACTAACCCTTTTTTCACCATTTAATAGAGTAAAAACTTTAAATAGCATTTTATTTTACGTCAAATTTGTTTCTAAGTTGTATGTTAATTATCAAAAGATGTTGATTTATCATATTTATAGTTTATATAATATATAATGTTAAGTTTATGTACTATAATACACAATTTAAATCTGTGTATGTAACAATTTATAGAAAATATATCTAAGTATGTTTAACTTTATTAGCATTAACATGTGTTTGGAAATTTAGTTTGATAATATTTAGAATCTAGATCTTACATTCTCGAGGAATATTGTTAGTAGTCTCATTTCACCTCTTCTGTTTTAATTTCATCTGGCACATGTCAATATGATGATTGTATTGTTGTTCATTCCACAGACAGCGTTTTGGGATTTCTCTGTCTGTGAACTCTCCTGTCTTCACACTGTCTGTGCTTCCAGTGAACAAAAGCACCCTTTTGGGACTGAACATTGATCCTGAGATTCGGCTCAGGTTCCGAGTACTAAACTCTGAAGGCTACACCAGTCCACAGTGTGCATTCTGGGATTTTAGTGCTGGGTGTGTATCTTAAAGTGTCTTTCTTCATGTTATATGTGTTATTAATGCTTAGTTTGTTACATGTTAGTTTTTAAAAAGGTCTAATGTTAGGTCATAGAATAAAATTATAAGTTTATTTATTGATAATATTAAGTGCAGTAAAGTTAGCCCTAACTAAACTAAAGCACAAAAGGTACAGAAGTTATAGTGTTAGTTTATCTCTTTATCAAATATAGCCATACTTAATAAAGGATTAATTAAGACAAGTGGACTTCTACTTTTCAGTGTCTGCAATTAGAATTATTTTGTATTATTATAGAAATCGTGTATTTAAAGAAGTAGTGTTGCAATAAAGATACTGATTTGACTGCAAATGTTTTGCAGATCTCTGCTAATTTTAAAATAATGTCCTGGTCAGTTATATGTGTGATTGTTGAGTGATTTTGAGAGTTTGAGATGCTGTCATTACCAATCTTATGTTATATATATATATCTGCGACTGATGAATGATTTGGAGATTTTGTGATGCTATTATACCATGTTTTCTATGTGTGTGAATCATGAGTGACTTGGAGAGTTTTAGATGCTATAATACCATTCTGTTTTTGTGTGTGAATGATGGGTGACTTTGAGAATTTGAGTTGCTGTTATACCATGTTTTTATGTATGAATGATGAGTAACTTGGAAAGTTTGATATGCTATTATACCATGTTTTCTATGTTTGTGAATCATGAGTGACTTTGAGAATTTGAGTTGCTGTTATACCATGTTCTTATGTATGAATGATGAGTAACTTGGAAAGTTTGATATGCTATTATACCATGTTTTCTATGTTTGTGAATCATGAGTGACTTTGAGAATTTGAGTTGCTGTTATACCATGTTCTTATGTATGAATGATGAGTTACTTGGAAAGTTTGAGATGCTGTTATAACAATTTAATATTGTTTATGCATGTGAGTGATAAAATATTGTCTATTTGTGTTAGTGATGAATGGCTTGAAAATTTGTCAGTTAATGTTACTATGTCTTTGTGAACATATTAATGTTTTTGTTTTTATGAATGGATTAATTTTGTTTACCTAGAAATGAAATAATCTGTGTGTGTGTGAATAAAATATTATTGATTGTGTGAATGAAATAACCTGATCTGTGTGTGTGAATAAAATATTATTGATTGTGTGAATGAAATAATCTTATCTGTGTGTGTGTGAATGAAATAATCTTATTTGTGTGTGTGAATGGAATATTCTTGCCTGCATGTGTGAATGGAGTCTTCATGAATGTGAAAGTCATCCCATTGTATGATGGTTTTTGATTTTTTATAAACAGAGGACAAGGCCATTGGTCAACTAAAGGTTGTCGGTTACAAAATGAAGACTCACTCACCTGGCAGTCCAAGCAACCATATGTCAACTGTTCCTGTAATCATCTTACATCATTTGGTGTTTTGATGGATATCACAGACAAAGAGGTAACATGGTTTCTTTTTTTTACCTTATTGCTGATGTTCAAGAACACTTGTTTAAGTTTCAAGCTTTTTGTGATTTGCTGGATTGCTGTTTTTCCACCTTAAAATATCAAGCTTGATTTTTATTTTACAAATTTTTTATTTTGGTTTCCAAGCTGTATTTTATTGCTGGTTCAGAACATAGTATCTTACTATGAACTGTAAACATTACAATATTCTGGAAGTAGAATTATTGCTTAATTTGAGAAAAGCATTGTTGACTACTGTGATTTGTAATGAAGTTTTGTTTTGGTTGAATTCCACAAATTATTGTTTAAATTAGTTATACAAATTGCAGATAATACCATATTTCATTTATAATAGCTTATTATTAAGTTATAATGGAGATGTTTCTTATAACAGTTGTTTTTTGAATGGAACCACTGCTTTTATCATAACCTGTTGTCATAGGCATAGGGGTTTGATTTTGACTGGGGGGGGGGGGGGCAAGCAAGTCTTGCCCAAAAATATAAAATCGACCTTAAAATCATGTACTGTAAGATTTAAAGTAGCTTGAAAAAAAAAAAGTTGCAATAACTTCCATGCAGAACTGTATGGCGCTAAAAGGGTAAAAAGGTGAAAGTGAAAATGTCGTGTGGGTAATATATTTTCTGAAAAGGTATAATCAGTTTGCAAATATAAAAGTTATAAATATGAATGGAGCTTTTGCCTGAATATTTTGGGTGATTTTTTGCCCAAAAAAGTATTTGGGCCAGAATTTTGCGGGAAATTGCCCCCTTGACTCCACACCTCCTATGCCTGTTGTACACGCATTTAAGGTTTGTCATAGAGTTTATTTTAAACACCAGTTTATTTACCTTAAGAATAAATTATTCTTAAGTTATAATTCATTCTTAAAATTCATTACAGTGTTTTGTATTTTACAGTATTTTGCAGAGGAATCAGTGGCTCAAGATGTCATCTCCTACATTGGAATGATCTTGTCTCTTCTACTGCTGCTGGCAGCTTTTATTGTGTTCTGTATGTTGCGAGGACTTCAAACAAACAGTAACACTATTCATAAGAACTTGGTGGCCTGTGTTTTCATTGCTGAGTTAATTTTCCTTCTGGCTTTAAAAATGAGAAGCACTTTAGTCAAAGAGGAGGTAGGCTGTTGTCTTATGTCTGAGGATATTGGCTTACATAGATCTCATTATATAGTTTTAATTATATTGATTAATTTGACTTTATTGAAGATCACTTTTATGGAAATGTATTGAATGATATTTAACAATTTATTCTTCACAGTTTCCCTGCAAAGTGGTAGCCATCCTCCTTCACTATTTCTTTCTGTGTGTTTTTTCTTGGATGTTTGTTGAGGCCATTCATATCTATCGAATGTTGACTGAGATGAGAGATATCAACCATGGACAGATGCGGTTTTATTATTCTGTTGGATATGGTTAGTTTTTTTTGCTGAAAAGATATTCAGTTAAGCATTATTACTCTGTTGATTACTTTAATTTATTTACTGCAGAGAAGCCATTTAGTAAAGGTAATTAATTAATTTGCTATTTATAATATATGATTTACTAATCCAGGGAGATTTCACTTCAAATATATTTTGTGCTTTAAATTATGAGAATATTATTATTATTTTGTTGACTAAAAATGAAAACTCTCATGTTAACAAATATCAAAATGTCTGTAATCATATGTCTATAGAAACCTTCCATGTAAGAAAACAAGGAAAATTCTTCTTTACTCAAATGTTTTAGTAGCCTGTCATGTAAACAAAAGTTAAAATTCTTTTTTTTTACTCTCATCTGTATAAACCTGCCATGTAAACAAAAGTCAAAATTATTTTTCACTCTCATATCTGTAGAAACAAAAGCCCAAACTCTCATTTACTCAGATGTGTATAGTAAACTGCCATGTAAAAAAATTAAGTCAAAACTCTATTTAGGTGTGTATAGCAACCTTCCATGTAAACAAATGTCAAACTCTACTTCACTTGCATATTTATAGTAATATGCCATTTAAACAAAAGTAAAAACACTGTTTTACTTACATGTCTTTAGAAATCCACCACCATGTAAACCAAAGTAAAAATTATGGTTAAAAAAATTATAATTTTTTCCACATATCTTACTGTTATATTTAGTTTCATTATTATTTGCGTATACAGGTGGACCAGCTATTGTTGTTGGCCTAGCTGTTGGGGTTCGAGCAGATCAGTATGGGAACTATTTTTTGTGAGTAGGTTTTATTTAGAAACAGTGATTTGTTACAATTATTAAGTACATTGTGCAAATTTGTTAGAAAAACAGCCTTTCTCTTTTTATAAATATACTTTGAATCAAGCATTTGCTCTACCTTAAGACAAAAAATTGTACATTTGACCTTCAGATTATTATGGATATGCTAAGAATTTGACAGTTTATAAGAGAAAAGCTTTCATTTGTAATGGATATAGATGTTTTAATCCCTAAAGCCTTAAAACACCAAATATTTATAGTATTAAAAAATAAACTTGATCTTCAACAGATTATTAGTTAATAAAAATGTTTGTTATAGAAATCATCAAAGAAAATGTTAGTTTTTTGTGGCAACACCTGGTATTGATATTGACTTTAAGTAGGAATCTTAATTACTTAAATATTTTAGATAATTTTAAAGTCCAATTTTTAGATTTTTTTTTTTTTGTGCATTGACATTTCAGACATTTATTGAGATATGTTTCATTTTGGACATGCTGTTTTTATTCATAGAACCTAAACAGTTGTAAAATATAATTAGATTGTATTTCAAGATGTCTAACTTATCAATATTAAAATCAGAGCATTTTTCTTTGTACTATCCATTAATTTTATTATTTTAAATGTAATTTTCCATACAGCTGCTGGTTGTCTGTTTATGAGAATGTTGTCTGGAGTCTAGTTGGACCTGTGTGTTGCATTGTTATAGTAAGTGTATTACAATTTTTATTAGCCTGCTTATTTTTATTTTTCTCTAAATATTATATCACATGAGTTCGCTTTATGGAAAACATTTAAAGTCGTACCACTATCTGGTTTAATTTCTTAAGTGGTAACTTTTCTAGTAAAGGTAATGTTTGAAACTTTAAGCTGTAACTTATTACTTATCAGAAATACATTTATCCAATCTTCTTGTGATAGTATGTTTATCCACTAGTCAATAGAGGCAGCACACAACTTTTTAAAGAAAATTTTATAATTTTTGACTAAAATCTATAGTTAGTATTTTTATGCTTTGTAGTTAATTCACTAATATGGTTTGGAAATAGAGAAAAAAAAATATTTGTTTTTCTAATGAAGACTTGTTTTACATTTCCAATTATTAATTAAATCATTAAAGTTAATATTCAAAAATAGTTAATTTGAGTAATCATTTTAAAAGGTGTTGGTGTTTTTTGTCACACCCAAATACCTTTCCATGTCTTAAAGGCATATAGGGCTGAAACTTAACTACAGATTCTCATGGCACAAGTGGATGAGAGTGATAACTCGTGCTTCCTGGATGGGATGTTAATTCTTCACAGGTTAACCTCCAGCTATTAGCTGGTACCCATTTGTACAGTTAGGATAGACTGAAGTAAATTTTGGTTAAAGTGTTTTATGCAAGGATGAGCTTTGAACTTACATCCTTTTGATTACTTGTCAAGAGCACTAACCATGCTGCCTCAAACTTATGACAGTTTTGCTAAATATTACTATATTACATCCTATCGCTGTACAGCAATTTTACTGACAAATATCAAATCTGGCCAACTTAAATCCGTATTTGCTTTGTATATATATATTACTACATACTTGAAATTTGATTATTTATACATTTGTCTTCATCTTCAATACCTTACTATCTATTTGAGATTTAATTAACTTATCCCTCTAGTCTTATGAGTTGTTTATATTTTTCTTTTTTTCATACAGTTGAATCTTGCTGTGTTTGCTTTAGCCATTAGAGCCAGTGTCCACATAAAAGACACAGTTACAGACTTTGGGAACTTACGGTAAATTTTTCTTTAATCTGATTTGATTGAAATTTTATTTATTCTTAGATTAAAAGTATTTCTTAATGTGAAATAATTATTTAGTACAAAAAAACTAGTGCAGAAAAACAAGGACATCAGTAGATTAGTAGGTATGTAACTCATATAGAATGTTGTCTCTGTTTTTCTTTTTCAAATACTGTCTTATCTCCACACAAAGCTATCTCAATCCTTATTTGCCATCTAAGCAATGCTAAAAATATTTTTTTGCTGCCAGTGCATCAGTCTTTATACTCCATCAGTTTTGAGCCATTTCTGAACATGTACAAATCATGTGAGTACTCTCCACCAATAGTATTGCACCATCTATACTGGTGCACTTAACTCCCTCTGCTATTCCCGCTCAATCCTCACTTTCTTGATTGGCACACCATTATTCAGATGTGTTTTTTTGACATGTGGCTACATTTATGAACGTGCTTCTTTGTCATTTAAATCTTTTTTTAACAGTTTTCTTTTACTGTGTTTGCATTTACTCATTTTGACAATTTCTTTTTGCATTTATTTCTTGTTACTGAATTACAAGAAATCATAGTATGAATTTGCGATTAATGTAAGTGACGACTTCCCAGGAATGGGGTTAGACTATTGGCTGACGAGCTACAGGTTTTAATTTGCAGGGAGCTTGATTCATATATTTGGCTGGCAATTTCCTCTTCTTTTCATGTGACAATGTTTCTGAGGAAGAATATAAACAATGAGTGGACACTTTGAACTCTCTTTTTTTGGCACCTTTCACCTGTTGCTGTGCCACCACGTCATTCTCTTTGGTGAAGAATTGTTCTTCTTCCCAGAGGATCTGTGATTTTTCAACTTATACATCTGGTTGATATACCCATGGTGGTTCAGATGCTCTTTGTGTGGCTTTGCACTTATTTACACATGGGAGAATTATGCATTTCATGTCATCAGGTGCTCTGACTTTGGTAAGTTAGATATTTGTGTCATTTGTTGTCTAAGTTAATTTAGATAAATTTTAAGTAAGATATTGATTATTACTTTATATTTTTAGTAAATTTAATCATTTTGCACATTCATTAATATTACATACTTTGTAGTCTCTGCAAATTTCATGGTTTTGTTAGTTCATTATTAATAAGTACTTTACCTAGGTATGTTTAGATTGTGTAAGTTACATATCATTACTGCTAGTAACATCTAATTCATTGTCCTATTTGAGTAATGTTTTTTTCTCGTCATAAGTGTAGGACTTAATTGTCTTTTATCATCTAGGTTTATCATCATCATGTGCTGTCTTCCTCAGAAAGGTTGGCTGTCACAATCCTCCAATTCTATTTGTTCTGTGTTTCTCTCTCCAGGTCTTCATATTTTGATATCTCAGTCCACTCTTTAATATTTGTTACCCACTCTGTTCTTGGTCTTCCCTTGTATCTTTTCCCTTCTATTTGACCCTCTAGTAGGACTTGCTGGATGTTGTCTCATCTCATCATATGGCCAAAATATGCTACTTTTATTTTCTTAATGATTGGTACAACATATCTTTTCACATTCACCATACTGAGAACTTCTTCATTTGTTACCTTTTCTATCCAGGATCATCTTTCTGTACACCCACATCTCAAATGCTTCCAGTTTGTTAATAAATGCTTGTGTCAAGGTCCATGTTTCACAGCCATATAACAGAGTTGACCATACTCTTATCCGAATATGGATTATCACCAGAAATACAAATTAAAAGAGTAGTATGCCACAGATGTGTCCTTTCCCCATGTCTATTTAATTTGTACACAGAAAACATCTTTCATAGCATTGAGAGTAATAAAGGCATTAAGATTGGTGGCATAGGTGATAAACAATTTAAGATATGCTGATGACACTGTACTGATGGCTGAAACAGAACAAGACTTACAAGATATTTTGAATGGTGTAAATAACACAGACCATAACAGGTGATGGAAAATGTGAAGCTGAAATAGTGAAGAGGATTGAGGTAACAAGAGGTGCCTTTAATAGTATGAAAACAAGTCTGACATCAAAGAGTTCCTTACGAATGCTTTTTTGGTTCCAATACAAATTTCATATCAGCTGCAGAACTTTGCCATCTACAACTAGGCTTTTAAAGCATTCTATCAAATTTTCATGGTTGACCCTGTCGAAAGCTTTTTCATAATCAATGAAACACACATATACATCTTTCTGCTATTGTTTTTACATTGAATATTTGTTCCTTTTCCTGTCATAAATCCACTTTGCGCTTCATTTATTTCATCTTCAACTGTTCGTCAGTTTCTCTGTTGTATGATCTTCAATGTGACCTTCAATATGTGACACATCAGACTTAGTGTCCTGTAATCTGAACAGTTTGTGACTTTTGCTTTCTTTGGTATTCTGACAAATATTGAAGCATTTCATATCAGATGGAATGTATCCAGAATGATAAACAAAGCTACACAACTCTGTAATTTTATTCAGTCCTGCATCGTCTTTCAACATTTGTGTAGTGATGTCATCATTTCCACTTGCTTTGCCACTTTTCATATCTTCAATAACCTTTTCTACTTCTAGCTTCATGATGGCCCTTCCTTCCTGGTTGTCAATATTAGGTGGATCTCCTCTCTTATCGTAATATAGTTTATTCACATACTCGACCCATCTATTAGTAATTTCTTCTGAATCAAACAGCATCTTACCATTTCTATTACATACACAGTTGTTTCCATTTTTAGATCTTCTTTTGTTAGTCATCTTTTTCACCTTTTCATGCAATTCTTTTGTTTTATACTCTCTGTTCAGAACTTCTATCTCTTCACATTTCTTATTCCACCAGACTTCCTTAGCCCGTTTACACTTGTTTCTGATTTCTTTATCTATTTCTTTGTGTTGTTCTGTTCCTTTGTGCCTTTTTCTGACTTCCATCATATGCAGTATTTCATCTGTCATCCATGATTTTTTCTTCACATTTTTCTTCTTTGGGAGAACTTTCTTTGCAGACTCCACCATAACTTTCTTGAGTGATATCCATTTCTGTTTAGTTATTTTGTTATCAGTACTTTGTGTGACTTCTTTGTTGTTGAGCACATCAAGTTGGTTGCATACTTCCACTGCATATCTCGTCTCGTATTCTTCTTGTTTCAGCAGGTTAATGTCTAATTGGTCATTTGCACCTCGCTTTGCTGGCTTCTTCATCTTGACCATGACTGGATTATGGTCAGAGCCTACCTGAATAGATATGTGCTTGTTTCACACTGTTTCTAAATTTCTGATTTACCAGGATGAAATCTATTTGATTCCTGTATATATCTCCAGGGCTCTTCCAGGTGTACAATCTGCATTTTGGGTGTTGAAACCATGTGTTAGTAATCATCATGTTATGCTCTTCACAAAACTGCAATAATTGTCTTCGTCTGTCATTTCTGCTACCAAGGCCATATTTTCCCACAATGTCTAGATGTTTTTCATTCCCAACCTTGGCACTGAAGTCTCCCATAATGATCACAACTTCTCAACTCTTTATATCTTCCATAGTTTGATTCAGTTCATCATAGAATATTTCCACTTTCTCATCACTGTGATCAGTTGTTGGTGCATATATCTGTATGATGTTAATATCAAAAGGCTGACCTTTTAATTTTGACATGATAACTCGTCCAGGTTGATTTAGAGGAATGTAGGTTAGATATTGTTTATTAATGTGTTTTCTAGGTACTTTTCGTTGGTTTGCATGTTTGTTAATATTACATAATTTGTAATTTAGATAGTTTGTCCGTTTCATATTCATAAGTTCTTTGTTAACTAGGTATGTTTAGTTAGTTTGTACCTTATTACTAGTAACAAGCATTTCATTGTTAACTATGTGCCTTATCCTAATTTTTATCAGTGTAGGACTCAGTTATATGGCCTTTGTAATATAGGTTACTTTCGATGACTGGTAACTTAGATATTTTCTAAGTAATTTTCATTGGTTAACACATTCATTATTATTACAAACTTGTGGACTGCATAAATGTTGATGGTTTGTCCGTTTAATATTTATCAGTCCTTTTTTAATTGGGTACATTTCAATAGTTTGTTACATATCATAATTACTATTAATATATATTTCATTGTTCTATCTGAATTTTTTTTTGTAAGTGCTAACTATGTGCCTTATACTAATTTTTCGTCAGTGTGGGGCTTGAAATATTTGCTTTGTTACATCACTGATGGGTTTGTTTATTTCTTGGTCATAGGGTTGAGCTGGGCGTTGGCTCCTTTTCCTACATTTGGGATCCTAGAAACCTCAATTTCTCCTCATAATTTGCAGTTGTGTTCCTTTCAACAATGCCCACTTTATCGATAATAATTTATTGCTCAAAGTCGAATTTTCTAGTTCAGGACCCTACCATTCGGAGTAACCTTTGCCTGGTCTGGTTTGCTCCTTAAGGAGTTATGAGAAATGTTCTGCCTTCTTTCAGGGTTCACATTCCTGACCTTTTTTTCCTGGAAACCTTCTATTTCCATTGCTCTGTCCCCTGTTTCACTTACTGGTTAGGTTCATTTACTCATTAGGCTGGCATATTTGGATTTATCCATAGAAAGCCACCATCTCCACACTATTCTTCTCATCAGATTCATCACATCACTATATCCTATGCACCAATTTGATATCCTTTGGAAAAGATTGTTCAGGCCAGAATGTGGACTACTTCGGGTACTTTTATTGTTCATTATCTGCATGATCTGGATCTATCTTCCTCTAGTGGATATCGTTGACCTCCAGTGGCAATTGTACACATGTCAGTATGCCTTTAACTGGGCTAATTCTGATGAATTCCTTTTTTTTATGTTTTCTTTTCAGCTTGCCTAATCATAACATCTACTTAACAGATCCCAATTGATCATGCATTTCACCTGGATGTTTTTCCTTGAGTGGACCACACTTGACAATATCACTTTATCAATTTATGAGGCAATTCCCCTGGATATTTTTACCTGGGTGGACTGTACTGCACAAAATACCTTACTCAATTTTAAGGCATTTCCCCTGGTTGTTTTTGCCCAGGTGGACCACACTAGGTAATAAAACTTCATCAATGGGTCACAATTTTAAAATCCAGTTTGAGTTTCTCCTAGATGTTTTGCCCAGGTGGACCTCAATAGACAGAATAACTTCATCAATTGACAAAAAAAAAGTAACCCTCTGGTGTTTCCCCTAGTCATTTTTGCCCAGGTGGACCTCAATAGAACAACTACCGTAATCAATTGTTATCATCAAACAATGTTCTTTTGCTTTCCTTTTTTATGTTTTGTGCCCAGATGGACTGCTCTAGACAATTTACTAGCCATCATCATGCCCTAGCCATATGTTGTTATTCCATTTTTCACACTAGTACAGTATTAGGCACAATCCTGTGTCAAATGGAATGTATGATTTTTGGATCATCAAGCACTACCATCACTTGTCCAGTGCTGTAAGTATTATTGGCACATTAAATTGTGCCTGTTTTTCTTTTCCACCCATTTCCTGGGTGAAGAGCATAACTGTTACAGAAGTAGTGTGGTATACCACTAGTGTGCTTCATTTTCATCTCATAGCACACCCTTTCATTCTAAGTGGTTGCTTTCTGCTTGGTTTGATATCTGTATGCCTAAAGTGGCCCCTACACCTTTGGAATGTGGGATTCTAGCTTTGTGTGAGAGAAGTTAAGACCATTTTGGAAGTTAACGTTTTCTTAAACTTAAAATGTAGTTCTGATACGCACTTACCTCCTCTCACACACTTCCCACTCGTCCTCCCCACTTCGGGTGTTTTTATGTTGATACCTGCCAATTCCCAAAAGTGAGGATTGAGCGGGAATAGCAGAAGGAGCTAACTGCACCAGTATAGGTGGCGCAATACTATGTACATGCTTAGAAATGACGCGAAACAGAAATGGGTATAAAGACTGATGGAAAAAACAAAAATTTTTTGACCAATGCTTAGAGGGCAAACAAGGAATGAAATATCTTTGTGTGATAGGATTTTTTTTAAATTATGTCGGGTAGTAAACTGTTATAAATGGAAATATAAAGTTAGTAAAATGTTTTCTACTTGCACATATTTTAATTTTTAAAATGATAAATGGGAAAAAGTGAAATCTTTGTTAGATTTTGTATTTTTTCAAAATTAATAAATATATTCAAGATTAAGAATGTTATTTTGCCTCATGTGATGTGAAATAGCCAAATTCATGATGATTCTTTTTTTTTATCTTACAGAACATAAAATTGTAATTACTCCTGATAACAACTAGCCAAGGCAGAATTTTTAATTCCATTTTATTGTTCATGTAAATTATTTTTGTTTTTATATTTATTTTACTTTTAGTTTGAAAATGTTTTCTGAGAATGATTTTGATTCACTTCTTATTAGTGGTTTTTTTTCTCTTATTATAGTTAATGTGTGAAGAACATCTAAATGTAAAGTTGTTAATTTTTCTAGAACCCTGCTATGGCTTGGCATCATGTTACTTCCAGTGTTGGGTGGTACCTGGGTGCTGGCATTGTTGTCTGTGAATGAGTCCTTGGAAGTGCTTCACTATGTTTTCTCATTCTTTTGTCTACTTGAAGGAGTTTACATCTTTGTAGGATACTGCTTTATAAATAGAAAGGTTAGTGCTCTCGATATTCACCTATAGAGACCTAACAGATTTTCTATCAAAGCTTATTGGGGTCAGTGAGTGCAGTGGCAGACACTGCAGATCATGCACACCTAGCTTTTACTGACCAAATGAACTTGTGTTCAGTCAGATCTGTCAACAAAAAAGTTATGCATTTTACTCTTAGTGTAATAATACATAAGCTTGAATGTCAGTTGGATAAAGAGCTTCAAGGTGTGTCATGTAAACCACCTGCTGGTGTAAATAGACAGTAACTGCCATGATTGATACAAGGAAATCTACTGGGATGAATAAGATCATCAAAAAGTTGAAACTAAATTAGTAATTTTTGTTCTTTGGTTGTGTATTTTCCTTTTCAAAACAGCAAATTTGTTATTGTAGAATGAGAGATTAACATGTTACTGTATACAAATATGTTTTTTTTTTGCATGTCTTATTAAAAATTTTAAAGATTAAAATCTTGTACAATAATATTGTTATTTAAAAGGGCCTTCTACATATCTCTTTACATTCACTAGGTACGTTGGTGGTAATTAGACAATTCATTTCATATTTTGTTTAGTGTTGTATTTGTTTCCTCAAACTACCTGTTTTAGATTATTGTTTTTTAAAATGTTTTCACCTGTAGCAGAAATATTGTTGTGATGTTTGTAGGTACGTCAACACCTGTATTGTACATGGG